TAGTGATTTCTCCTAGAATGTATTTACCTTGCGAATTGTAAGGTTCCGACGGCGACGCACACTAGAAACGAAGTGGCCGAATGATGAGACCATCACATCCACTACATTTCAGGCCCAGCTTGGAGACATAGACTACACGTTTCACAGATGCCGTCCTACTCACAGTGTGACCAAGACCCTCAGTGGCTTAGAAGACACAGGAACACCTGGCATTAAATAATAAACCGGACTATGTAGGAAGCAGTTTGAAGCGGTCAACTAAAACTGAGCCAATTTTCCCAGTGGTTTCAGATAAACAATGTAACGCAACATGGGAAGAAAACGAAGAAAATAAGCTTTCTTTTGTTGTGGTGGTTGCGGGGCATACGTTGTTCACCACAAAAATCAAAAATAGTCTGGCGGGTTCCAGGTGTCTGTGGCTTTGCATACAGCTTGGATGAGTTATCCCTGTATTTACGCCCGCACTTGCAATAATATATATGGCTTTGATGCTCTTGCGCTTATTGCAAGGATATTTCGTTGAATTTCAAATTGGGAACGGCCGGAGTCCTGAGATACATTACACAAGTGCCCATCTCTGTGCTTAGCTTTTCCGGTGATCCTGAACCAAACAAATAGTTGAGAAGACCTTGTCGGGTCCCCAGAAGCTCAGTTACACCTGCACTTTTGTTTCGAATAACATTTACCAGCTAGGAGCAAGGAGATAGTCTTGGTAGCCTTTTTTAGCCATTTGGATTTGCTGTTTTGGACAACTGCCTGCCTAATAATAGGCCTGCATAACTGATGAAAGCTGAATTAACAAGCTATTGATCCATCCGGACAATGATCTGCCTACTGGTGGATGGTCATGGGTGGCATATGAATAGTAATCCATTATCGAGATATACACTCATTTGCAAATCAACTTGGTTTTCACGAGAGACTCAACTGAATGTCTCGTTTATGATATTCATTTAAATCTTTCGTGAAAACGAAATCGATTTGCGAATGAGTGTAGTTCTCGAAAGTAGTCCAATTTGGGTTCAAGTAGAACATAAGGTTGACGGAACTCGGAGACTAATGAGCCCCAAGAAGGGCGAAACCAGTCATGGGCTGTCGAAGAGTTTTCAGCAACCTTGTGAGTAGTTTCCTTTATGAAAAGCAATCCGTTACTTTGAAAGATCTTCTGATAACCATGTGGACGGCTTACGCACCTGGCGGATTTTCAAATTGTTTTTCGGTTGGATCGATTAAACTGCAAGTACGTATAGACTTTTCTTGGTGTTACAGTACATGATTCCTCAACTAGCAATGCATGTTGGCTATCGTTGTTTTCGTCTACCACGGCTTTCGGTGTTCCACGACAGATTGCAGTGAAGCCGTAAGTGTGGTGAAAAGTGCTCATCTTCACGAAAAATATAACGAAAACTGTTGAGTAATTGGTGATTCAAACTTGGTCCAGTAACTAAACATCGTAAAATCATGCACTATTTTAACCCCCAGTGCAATAGCCATCAAACGGAGCACCACTGATGAATCGGTAATGATTTTATATTTGTACCCATCGTCATTGATGGCATAATATTATTGTTCAACATTATTGCCTTATTACTGCCGTAATAAGTCCAGTTCGAGAGCAACAGCAGCCAATTATCCTGCCTGTTTCAGAGTACGAGAGTTGAGAGCAGCTAGACAGACCGGACGACGAGGCTTGAAGGTTGATTTCGAGATACCTGAGGATGTCAGTGCCGGATGACACGCAGATGTTGCTTTCAGGGTTGATGCAAGATGAAAAGAGTCATCGGTCCTAAGTGACAGGCCCACAAGCGGAGAGAGTTAAAAATCGAGTGGGGGGAAACCATATGAATTAGAAAGAAGAGAGGCATCAACAGTAGCATGTTTCCGCTGACCCACCCTGCCGGATGCAACAAACTCTCACACCATGGTACGGTCCAGTCTGCTCTTGACGTGTTCTGCTAAAAATAAATATAAATAATGCCTGAACAAGGTAAATTACATTCGGTTTGAAGGATCCAGAGAACTCAAACTGGACATAAATTGTGAGCTAATTCTGGGTAAAGGGTAATCTATGTGAGAAACTATGGTGTACCTATTGTTGCGATACTCATGTACACCACAGATTACACTTAACACGGAGTCATTCGGTCAACGACCGTATGTTGGGAATCGAGCGATAAAAATTTAAAAGGCTCAAGGGTACAGGGGGCCTGTCGTTTTACACTTCAAAAGGGACGCACACCCAACTTGCTTTTATATTTAATGTACTTCTGTTCACATAGGATGTTTGTGGGTAGAGTGTCCTTCAACATGAATGGCTACCGAGCGGCATTGGATACTGGCAGTATTGTTGCTGAATTACCTACTCATATTATGGAGGCAATTGACATGGAGCTAAAAGTGACTGGACTTCAAGGAGTGCTGCACCAAGTTGACTGCTCCAAAATCAAAGAGCTTCCTGCAATTGAATTGCTTGGTGACGAGGTACAACTGAAAATTCTTCCTTCACAGTACATATTACAGGTATGTATATGTATATTCGAGCACGGTAAGATCCAAATGACAAATCCCATCCCCGGTCATAAACCAGTATCTCTCAACAAACAGATGTGAGAACCAGAACCCACCCCCAAGATGAATATTCCACCAAGGTATCTTAGGCCGGAAAAGCAAGGCCGCAAAATCCGGCTTCAACATCAAGACAACTCACCCTAACCAATCTATCGTATACGTTAGTCATCCCCACTGACCTAGAAACAAGAACTTCAGACCAACACTTAGCACTGATCAAGTCAGCTGGTCTTGAGAAATCTCACGGATTTGTGCCCTGACCGTTCCAGTCTGCCCACTTACTCACTGACGAAGCTCTGGTGTCAAAAGCAAAACGTTGCCCGATTGTTTGCCCAGCCTGTCTGAAACGATGGCTACCCAATCGGTCCCAAAGATCTTCCCATCGATTGAGAACATTTTCTTCATTTTTAAAGTGTTTTTTAAGGTGCGAGGACATTCAGCTTTCATTTGTTCTACAGGTGTCATATATCCTAAAAGGTCAAGGGTACGAAAGTCCTCAAAAACATGAAATGCATGATCAAACTGCACAGCAGTATGAGCAAGACGGTATTTGGGCGTAATCGATGATAGTTACCGGATACAACAATTCTATTTATCTCCTTTTTGCTTAGCCTACCCTAAAAAAAAGGTATGTTTTCACATGCAAATGACTTGATAATACAACAAGTATGCCAGTCGCAAAATACATCCAACACCGTCAGAACCGGTGATTCCGTGTGCCATGTGTGCAAAAACATCGTGGGTTGAGACAAGTGTCGCTTTTTCACCTCATCCAGAATAGCGTACACAGCAAGGTGGACAAGCGGTAACCTAACAAAACGGGTTGAGTTGATTGGCAAGAGTTGCTGATTCAGTCCCTTCCAATATAAGATCCCCGTAACCTTCCCTGTGCTTGGCTGGAGACAATACAAGAACAGGAGGCAAATAAACCCTCGTGGCGTTCGTGCAGTGAGTCTGACTGAGCGCTTGGAGGTGCAAACACTTCGGAATACTCAGACCCCTGCGTCAGCCACCCCTCTGTTTTCTCTTTACTTAAGCACTGAAAGTAACCAAATAAATTTTGCGGCTGCGATGTAGTAAGACTTTGATGCAAACACTGATTTTTTTCCCTGACAGTAGCGATGAACACAAAAGTCCGGTAGGTGGACGGTCAGCCCAAACTAGTAAAGTTAAAGTGACCACCAGGAAGTTCACTATGAGGGAGAAAATATCTAACAGACGCGCATGAATGAAACTTGTTTTAAAGGCTATTAGATACGGTTCTCAAAGTGAAAAAGTAACTTGGACTAATGCGTTTTATCACACAGGATTTCTGTGTGCAGACAAGCGGTCTTAAAACCAAAAGCTGTAAACCTGTGTCTACTCGGAAAGTAGAAACACGAGATCGCACATACGACTTTCGGGAAACCAACCAGTGCATTGAGCACCTGGTATGGTTTATCCAAGCACAATAAGCCACCACAATTACTAAGTAATGACTTGATATCAAGCGCCAGTGAAGCGGAAAATTTAAAGTTTATGAGCCGAAAAACAAATCGAGCAGTTCTAGAGAAACCCTACAATGTTTGGGGGGTATAGACTTCTTGCAAGTTAAATTCATCTCAAGTTTCTTCCAATCATAGGCTATTCCAGGTGAACTGTAAGGGGTTGTAAATTTTACTTAAACAAGTACGCATATACTAAACAGGTCAGTTGAACAAAATGAAAGGGTACCTGTACTCTGTTTCTGTCAGACAGAGAATCCATCAACTTACCATGCCGAGTTCAACAAGTCCAAATGATGTGCGGATATAAGCAGAACAAATAAAACTGAACTCACTGCATTAAATGGAATGTCCGCGTACGAACAGCTTGTGTCAATTTTTCAAATAAGCTCAACCTGTAAACCGACACAAAAATGAATTAAATTGAGTAATAAATGAAAACTAATTGGGGTCAGTTCGATAGGGAAGCCTAGTTGTATTTCACAGTTCCAGAGAATTTAGGAAAAAAATGTCGATCCTCTTTTGCCCTCCGGAGGAAGTAAAAAATGATTAACATCAAATGGACCTAATCGACTGGCAAAAGATGTATGTCGAACAATGAAAGACTCCAGCTAGTACCAGTGTTGATTCTTCTCTTCCATTTTTACGTTGTACAGTGCATTTTTGTTATTTCGGTTTTACGCCCATACCCTCTTTCTTGTTTTTGACCTGAACATAAATCGTTTTTTGACCTTGTCATTGGATGTGTTGTTTAAGTCGACACGTGGCTTCGAGTTGTTGTGGACTTTGGGTTCGGTCAGGAATTAGCAGTTTCTGAACCGGTGTATAGAATCCGGCAAAGTCCCAAGGTTTGAGGTTTGTATAGTTTTAATATTTTATTGTTGTATTTATAGTACCGTATACGTAGATAAGCCTCCATTTGAGCAATTTGTCTTTTGCAGTTTTGCGAGTAACTCAACGTGGTCCAAAAGATTGCTGGAGACAATTTAGAACCATTGGGGGTGTAACAAATGTTGATTATTATCGAAACGGTCTAATAGCTTTATTTTAACCCGAAACACCACTCATTATTGTACATCGTATGACGTTATGATTTACAGCCCAAATGACTGATGCTACTCCTCAAATTTAGGTCTCCATAATGAAGTTTCGTCGGACATTGGACGCTGGAAACTTGATAACCGTGCAGTTGAACAACTTTCTCGTATACTAACTTTGCTAGGTTTTCTAGGACTTGATTGTCTAAACATATTTTTTTAAAGTCAGCATAAATATATCGTGATTCTGTTACACGGCAAGCAATCCTTACTTCAAAACCAAAGATTACCAAAAATACTACGCGGAGCACTCGTCGAAAGCACTTTCACAAAGAAATGGCTGAAACCATTTATGTGTGTAGACTCAGTGCACAACGGCACCAAATATAAGGTTTTCGAACCTATTATAACCGTTTCCTTCATTTTGTTTCACAGGAGGACTTTCTTGGTCATCACTACTGCTACATCCCCTTTCGGGAACAAGCTAATCCAAGGAATAGACTCTTCATTGTGGGGATTTCCATTCTGCGTGCGTTTGACTTACTGTTCGACGCAAACGAAGGCTCTGTGACATTCGCTCCAAAAGATTTTCAGTCGTCCGCCTTTTCTCTGGTTAAGTAAAGACACTGTTAATATAACAACTAAATGCATTGTACTGTATTTTGTAATAAAAGCATCTCGCTTGGAGGTTTTGAACGAGCTTTGGAAACAAACCACACGTGAAAGTATTTGGTTTAGATGTATGTATACTGAGATCGCTATTTTCCAATGCCAGTCAAGCATCAGGAGATAAGGGAGGAAGTAATCAATAGGCTTCTTTGATAGATGGTGGACGAATTTGACTGAGCCTTCAAAATCGTTTGCCAGTGAATATTACTTAGTACTACAGCCGTGTATGAACTAAAACGCAAATAACTACGTCGAAAAAATGGCATCCTGGCACCTGAATGTGAATCCAGCTGGCCTAATCGTGACGCCATGACACTGGACGCTGACACCATTTACTCGTGTGTTGTAGAGGTACCGATTCCTCCATCAATTTAATTGGGTTTCGGCGTAGTGTGTGGGATGCAGCGTATTAGCAGGAGCAATCCATTGGGACATCATCAAGATTTTGTTGGATATACTAGCGACGCTCTATTGCCCGTACGGATAACGATGTCGTCTTTGGGATACCAGTAAAAGGAAGAGGGCCTTCGCTGCGAAGTTATTTAACAGAAAATGCAAACTGACCAGTTACAGACTACTGGACAGGGAAGCAAAACTCTCATATGCATCTGTCTTGTTTACAAAAACTGAAAAATCCATCTTCTTTTCGAACGCGCCTTCCTGAAATTTCCTGGATATTCATTGACTGTTGCTCAAATTCAAGCAAGTGCTAGATAGCAACTCCACAAATTCCGCAATAGATCCCACTTTCCAAGAGGCGCGAACGGATTTACGAGACAACATGGTACTCGCATGCTTCCCCTATCAGTAGTATCACCGTTACACCAGTTTCCGGATAAAAGCGTACGCATATACCGTGGTGGTAACTAGGCCATTGAAACAACACTAATAGGGTATAGATAAAATATTAGATTCCCCACGTAATTCATCCTAGTTTTTCCTTCTGTGCAGTTCCCCCCCATAATGAAGTAAAGAGGTGAGCCCAAAACGGTTTTATTCCCCATACTTCTTTGTTTTTCCCCTTTGTAGGTTAAAAAGACTGAAAATAACTAAGAACCACCACTGACCATATTATCCTTACGCATTTTCAACGTACTGTTTGAAAACCTGCTCGCGTAGAGTTGCACGTTTGCCAGATATTTAGTCTAATCTAGGACCCATTTCACCAATAAATTTTACAAGACATTTCTACGGTGCCAAGCAAATCCAAACATTATCCATCGAACGGAGGCGGATATCTAGTGTACAATATTACAGGGAGTCAGAAAAGTTATAAGAACACGGAGGAATGAAACGGCATGAATAAAATTAGCGCGATGTGGTGTTTCTTCTGCCAGCACTTTTAACCAGATACTAAGTCATGTACGGCAGAGTTCCTGGAAGTTGAATTACATGGCGGTTAGATTTTGGCCCAAATATAGTTAGCAGAAACAGTCTGAAATAGATAAAGATCAAATGGTTGTTCGGCATCCGACAGGCTACTCTGGGAAAGTGACCATCACGCGCAACGGTATTTGTTGACTACAAAGTTAACAAGTACATTACCTGATATTCTAGTGCGTGTGAAATCATGTTCCTGGGACTGTGCACTTATCCAAACAGTAGTAGTATTCAAACAGTAGGAGCAAGAAACGGCGAACTCATTGTGGGAGAATACATGGGCTGGCAAAAGTGCTGAAATATCGGCCAAAGTAAATCCGGTCCGACGATAATTGGGATAGATTGTGCCGAACAGTTTGCCAAGCAAAAGTCTTGGAGCGCA